GGCTTATGAAGGATATGTAATTTAGGAGGTACTATATATTATATGAGTAATTATTTTTATACTTTGAATTAGATAATTGAGCAGCAGCTTGTACTCCAATTCATACATGCCAGCTTTATGTGATCACAGGAGGCGGAGTGTGTGTGTGTGGCATTTTGAGTCATACATCATGGAATCTGTTTATTATTAACAGTGAAGATGTTTTTCTTTCTAAAATGTTAATTCTTCTCAGATGATCTGATATGAAAGCAGCTTGTGCTTTGCAGGTTTTATGAGATAACAGCAGTAATAGGAGTGGTTTTCTCTTTCCCTGATGAAAAAGCTGAGAACACTGTGGTGGTTATTGTGCCATGTTTGGTCTCTCTGTGCTTAAAAAAAAGCCCCCATCTCTGTGCTGACAAGGACATTATTACATATCCAGTATTTATTGCACCTGTGCTTGATGAATTTCAGAGTGGTTCAGGTGTCAGGGCTAGAGTTGGCATCACCGGTCACAAACAGCCAGAGGCTGTGAGTCCAGCGTGTGATGTAGCTAAAGCCCAAATTAGACTGTACAGACTCAGTGTGGCTGCTACAGTCTGACAGCCAGTCTGGGGTTAGTAGAAAAAAGAATTGTATGTTTTTTTTTTATTTTCCATACATTTTGATTATATAGACACTCCCTCACCACTTTTTTAGGTACACCTGTTCAGCTGCAAATTCTAAGTCAACCAATCATGCGGTAGCAACTGATTTAGGCATGTAGACATGGTGAAACGTAAGAAAGGTGCTGGTCTGTGTTTAAGAAACTGCTGATCCACTGGGACTTTACCACACAGCTGTCTCTAGTGTTTACAGAGGATGAGCTGCAAAAGGGAAAAATCCCCAAAAACACCAGGTTTCATCTCTGACCTTAATGATGGATCAAGTCCTGTAGCTGTGATAATAGAGTAGAAAGGAGTCATCCTCACTCATTAGACTATGGCAGCTTTCCTTCTTCCATCTGCCTCTTTTAAGGTAATTTCAGATTACTACTCCCTGGAGCGTTAATATTACAGAGCCACATTTCACTGAGAAATAATCATAGGGGGGAGAAAAAACAACATAATCGGTCAACATCATACTTACTGCAGTTATTGTCTAGTTGCGCTTTCCTGTAAAAAGATGGGTTATTACCAGCATGTTGGGTTTGCTCACATTCACACCTGTAATTTGAACTCAAAGTCCAGTGATTTTGATAATTAGGCTGACTGCTTATTTGATGTCCTATTTGGCTGTTTTGTTCGGATCTCGGAATGATGTCTTGTTCCCGGATCTCGGTGTTTACGTGGCTAGAACTCATAAAAAATGGAGGTGGATCTTATTTTGGAAGTTTCATTAAATAAAAGCGCCTGTGAGGAATGTTCTAATATTCGGCTTGAAGAATGAAAACAAGTCGTGTTGCAGTCGTAGGGTGTTCAACTTCTCTTCCTTTTCATGTGACTGAAAGCTGTTAATCCTGGATTCAGCTTTCTGTTTTTAAGGTTGACACCGCCTGAGCCCAGAGCGTCTTGACTTCAGCTCTACTGTGCCTGCCCCGTTGACCAATCAGCCTCTCAGCTGGGGTTACTATGGTAACCCCGCTAGCAAAATGAAACTGGCATTCCTAGCATTATTTCACTGTGTTCTGATGTGTCCATGTGTGATCTAATAAAAGCGACCAGCGCCGGACAGAGAAACATTCCTGTCCTCAGGGAAGCTCCCTTCATATTTAACTTGACTGTCGCGCACAAACGCTCGTTGTTTCCCCGTCTCTTTCTCGTCGGGGTCAAATGGTCAGCAGCGTTGTTCACTCGACAGCTCTTGTAAGAGTGCAGTTAATTCAGCGGCATTGCACCTGAGTGTGAGGAAATGCGTATATTAACCGGAGTGAAAACAGCCAGTCTCATGAAGAAGCCGTTTCCATGAAGCTTTTTGTGAGAAAGAAAGAGGATCCGCATTTGTTAAGTTGATTACTGTAAATGAGGTTTCATTTGTGCGAGACAGTCATGCAGGGACAGCTGTGCTCTTGTGTGGAGGAGCTGCAGCTGAAGTTGCTGGGTGGGGGGAGAAACCAGTTTCCAGCAAAGACCTGACGCAGACCCTGAGAGACACATCTGGGCCTTCAGTCGATCCATCAACATTTTAACATAATTATCAGTGTGTGTGTTGCTTCTGTGCTTCTGTGGACCATAACAGGGGACCAAACCACAGCTACTTAGGGGGTAATTAAGGACTATAAATGGATGATTACTATGTTGTTGTTTGCGTCCCTCTTTAGCTTTGTTTAATCCTGTATCTATGCTCCCCAACTCGATTGTGTTTGTGTTTGTTTGTCAGGGGTGAGTAGATTTGGACAGAAGGAGCTGTTGAGCTGATTTACAGAGAAGTGTCACTGGCGACTAACTTTCACTGCTGTTTCCTTATTTAAGAGGGCAAATCTTTCACTTACGATCACTCTGTTCTTCACACACACACACACACACACACACACACACACACACTTCTATACACATTCCTCCATCCATCCACACGCCACCTTTCACTCTCCGGTGGTGCCCCACAGCGCCCCTGGGGTCTCCTTAGATGCCAAACGCTAAACATAACCTTTCTGGGAAGTTATTGTTACGGTTATTTATAGGACACAGCGGTGCTGGCAGAGCGGAGCAGGGGAAGGGGGGGAAAAGCCTCCTTTGTGTATTTTTTGTGGCCATTGTGTGTGTGTGTGTGTGTGTGTGGGAAATAGAGAGAGAAAGAGGGGGAAAGAGCCATTGTGGTTATATATGCACCATAGGGCTATGCCTGTGGCTCTGTATGATATTTATAAGCCGTGTTGGTTACCAGAATATTTTGGGAGTGTCTCCCGAGACCCTGGATAAAGCACATGCTCCGTGAGCCTTAATCTCCCCATGTTGTCCTTCCACCTGTCCATCTGTCCTTCTCCTTCACACACAAACAGCTTTTCACAAGTAATAAGAGAAACTTTGGGAATGATGGGAATCGCTGATTTCGGTGTCACATGAACTGCTTTTCAGCACGAGCCATTATAGCATGAACGAGCCGTGCTTCCGTGGACTTCCTAGCCCCGGTGACGCCTGACCATGGAGATATAATATTTCAATGGAAAAGCTTAAAAAATATAGAGCTCCTGCCACTGAGGTTTCTATTTACTTCTTGAGAGTAACAGATAAGTGAAATCACATAAACCTAGGACAACGACAGTGATTGCGATTTCAGTTTAAGTGTTGCGTCGGCGTTGTTGGAGAGAAGGCGTGCAGAGAAAGAAAATGTAGATTTAAAATGCCAGAAAGACAAAAGGTCCATTATCGAAGCACAAAAAGAACCGCTGGTTGTTTTTGTTTGTGGATATTTTTGACGATGGCGCACATCAGCACTGAAAAATGATGATATTTATTACAATATGACTTACAGGCTGAGTGATATTTCTCTTGCTTGGTCATAATCCATCCTGCTGTCTTGGGAGCTTTTACTTTACAGACTGCTGGGAGTCTCCTGCTTTGAATGTCAACAACATTAAATTTTCATTTCCTATTAAAATGCTTTTTCTTTGCTTGACAAAACAGAGCTCACTTGCTTTCTTTGTGCCCGTGTTGTTCTGCTTTCGAGGATCATTGCGGAGTTTGAGTGCAGCAGCTCTGACCTCGCTGGTTCAGGGACTACTTTTGAAGCGTGAACTTTCAGAGGATCAGAAAGAAAGAAATGTGAATAAGATGTTCATAAGAGGTTTCACAGCAGACCATATATATATGGATTCAAATATTTCTTTAAGCTTTGATAATGTTTCGATAAGCTTAACCAATGTCGCAACAATCTAGATCTGCTCTACTGAAGCAACCGCTCAAGCTCCCCTTGAGCGGTTGCTTCAGTATGGTAGGCACTAGGCACGATGGGTGCCTTATTTCATCCGCGTCTTTACTAACCCGGATGAGCCCATCACTCTGTAAGAGGGAAAATCTGAACTAATCAGACCTCATAATCTTTTTCCACTGATCCAAAGTCCAACCTTTCTTCTTCCTAGCGAATTGAAGGCTTGTTTTCCCCCCAATTATCCTCACTGATAAGTGGTTCTCTTAAGGCTGAACAGCTTTTTCAGTGATTTAATTTCACCAATTGGTGAAAGGATCAGGATTTTTTTTTCCTGACTACGTTTCTTCCTTGAACAAGGCTCGCGACTATCTGTCCAGGTTTTAATAATGCATTGGAGGGTCTTCAGCCTAGTTTTAGTAGTTTCGGCAAACTTGTTGACCAGTCTGAAACTGAGGAACATTATTCCACCGCTGCTGGGCATGTTTTCCAGCATGAGAAGCTTCTCGCTGCATCAGTTGAGGTTGAATAACTTGTTGCCAGACAAAACATATGAATCACTCTATGATAAGCTTACTTAAATCTAGGTGGAGTTCTTGTTTTTTTTGGCCCAGCAGTGTATGTGTTCTTTTTGCATTTGACGTTCTTTGTCATTTTCCACCTCTGTATTTACTGATTAAAAATGTAAGCCTTAACTTTCTGAAGAGTAAACATACACTCTGCTCAGATTTACCCCATATCAAATTTTGTATCCTGTGTAGAATTTCCATGTAAACCAAACGTATTTAGTGTTTTTAGGCTTTACACGGCCTTTAAAAGCTCACAGTGCTTTCTGATCCTCCATGTCAAGATTCAGTTGTATTTGCTGTACCTGGTTCACACTTGACATACTTGACCTTTTGAATTTTAGTTTATTTTTACTTAAAAGGGACTCTGTACAAAAAAATTAGGAGAATGCATTTTATTGTATTAGATTTAGCTAATAGCTATTTTCCATCTGCAATTGCATGGGCAGGTGAGCATAAAACACCACCGTGATATTTTTACAGCATTGCATGTGCTTCTGTTTGTATATTATGTGGTTTGTCCATGACATAAAGGAGCATTAGATATGACCTGGATGACCCTACAAACATTAAGTGACCTTATATTTTTTTCTTATTCTTCTGTCTTCACAGGATATGAGGAAGCATGTCATGATGACCCTCTTAGACACAGAGCAGTCATATGTGGAGTCACTGCGTACTCTTATTCAGGTAATGTAACACACACACACACATAACTTCACATGCTCTCTTACGTATCTCTTGTTATAAATGAGTCGTATTCGCAGGCAGACACGCAGAATAACTAAAAAATACAGATTGCTGAGGACATGAATACTGAATAACTGTGGATGTTATGTAATCCACTTATTCTCATTCATCCTGCCAGGCTAATCTGTTAACCCCGTCACTTCCCACTGTCATCAGCATTATCTGCCACCCACACCCACACTTCTGTATCCTACACCTGTCTGTGCTCTAATAGCTGACTAACCTTTACCCCAAATCTTAGCCACATCCCTCTGTCTGGTTAACACGTTCCCAAACATGCACACACTCACTTTGGCACCCTGTGATCACCCTGTTGTGTAACCTGTCGCTGTTCGCTGTGTGTGGGTGTACAGTAAGCATGCGTCTGCATTTTTACAAAATGTTCGCTCACATGCGCACACGCTGACTTTGACTGTGTGTGTGTGTGTTTCTGCGCGTATGTGTGGCCACAAAGTGAATAAACCCAGGCCGTGTTCCCATGACGACACAGGGAAAGTAAATGTTACCACGGTGACTGGTGTATAAGTGCAGATCCTTGACGGAGCGTGTCAGATTTAGTTCGGCTGAGACGGCTCCTAAGCAGCGCTATCCAAAGTTGAAATCGGACTCTTTTGGGTTTCTGTTGAGGGACTTTTGGTGAAGCGCTCTGTGAGTAATACAAGCTTTTGCCATATAACTAAGATGATTTTGAATCAGAAAGTGCTTTGTGTTTAGTAAAGCTGAACTAATAACAGTGGTTTTAACAGTCTAAACAGTTTACACCTAGTCTTTTAAGAGAGGGCCATTATGCTCATTTTCCTGGTTACATGGTCAGTAGCAATACTCATGTATGCTGTTGCTTTTTAATGATGCTCAGGACACCAAAGTGTGGCTGGAAAATATCCACCACACCATTACACCATCAGCACCAGCCTGAACCTTTACAAGGTAGGACGTAGACATCCCTTCATGTTGTTTATACCAATTTCTAACCCTACCATTGAGTGAATTCCTGTTCTCAGCTGACAGTGTGGTCTTCTGCTGCTGCTGCCCATCTGCAGGATCAGAGGTGTTTTTCTCCATATCTTGGTTGTATCCAGTGGTTATTTGAGTTACTGTGTCCTTCTTGTCATCTTGAAACAGTCTGGCCGATGTCTTCTGACATCAACAAGATTTTCAAAGACACTTTTTTGGTCTTTTTTTGGACTGGCCTGTCTGTCTTGTTTCTGTCTTGTTCTTGGTGATTGTCTGCCTCAAAAGCAGCTGAGCTGCACATACAGTGACACACATTATAGAACAGGTCTGTTGTACCCCGATTCACATTTAGCCCAAAAAGACCCAAAACAGATTTATTCTCTGCAGTACAGTTGTATAGTATATGCATGTGTTACCTATGTGATTAAATACTATTTGGGTTTTTATCTGGCTTAAAGATTTTAGGCCTTATTTAAAGCAAAATATACAAAAACACAGGTTTGAAATGTACATGTTGGACGCACAAAGGAGAAATTAAATTAACATGGATATAGTAATGGTGTAATGGTGGCTAATGGTGTAACTGGGCCATGTCACAAAGACAAATGTTGCCACACAGTTCATTTAAGTTGATTCTGGAGTTTTTCCATCAATGTGCATGTCTGTCTTCCCACTTCACTGCTGCCATACTGTACCTGAGACTATCTAAATACAGAGAAGAAAGAGTTCGTCGAAACTCGAAGAAAAATGGATAAAGGAAGTCGACCGGCTTTCTTTAGTACAGATGTTTTAACCAGGAGATTGAATTAAAAGTGAAATGTGTCATGCAGTTCGTCAGTGCAGCATTCACAGCTTAGCGGACTTTGCAAATTTGGGAGCAATAGGGTTGAATCTGTCTGAGTTCATTTAAGAGTTAAACTTTGAAATTTGGAAACTCAATTAATGCGATCACAGTGGGAGCGTCTCTGAGTTTGAGTGCGTCTGAGTCGAGCTTGTCGAAAGCAAAACTGTGTGATCTACACAGAATAAGGACAAAGGACAAAGTGAAGACAACATGTGATGGCAAAACCCAGTTTAATCAGTTTGCTAATGTGCCGTCTGTGTCGACTGTGTTTATTCTGCGTTTACCCCGTACTGGCCACAGTGTTCATGAAATGTCTGCTCATATCAGCCTCGATCCAAGATTGAGATATCAGGGTATGGCGTAACCAGGCATACTGTGTAGACATGTGCAGGTTTGACTTGTGTTTATTAACGCGTTTATCTTTTGTCTTTCTCTTGGTGTTTTTGCTTATTTGTGAATGCAGCTTTCATTCATCAGATAATGCGGGTGGCATGGTGTGAGGAATGAATTGCCAGACGCCAGCTGTTTTGAGCAGTGGCTGTTTTTGCAGTAAAGAGACCGCTTTTGCATTGAAGTGCATGAAGATGAAGATTTCAGCAGCTTTAAGCATACAGCTGCAAAATTCTTGTAAACACATATTTTGTATAAAATGAAAGAACTCTTTTAGCGCGAATCTTAGGGCTTAAATTGTAAGAAATAAATGTGTAAAATTACAGAAAATGTTCTAGTGGCTTGTTGGACAGACTGTCCTGCAATTATAAAGTGAACTTTTGTTTGTTAATTCAAAGATAATGTCCTATTTCGTTTATTTATTTGTGTATTTCTTTATTTTACTGTGTACAGATGGTGCAAAAGAAGACGTTTCTATAGTACATAGTAAAAAAACAGAAAGTTTTCTATCATTTAATTATCTTTTACTCAGTTACGTTGGTGTGACATGAATGGTCATGGGGGGGGAGATCTTTATCAGCTGTAAAATGTGTGAAAATGCAATTAAAGGTCCAAAATTTATGTCGTACTTCACACTTTCACAAGGCCATCTAGTGGGATGGATTGTTGTCCTTACCGGGCTGATTCTGGGCCCCGTGCCTTATGTTTGACACCCCTGACATGAACAGTTTTTGCTCTAAATCTACTGCACACCTGACAAAATTGCAGACTATGATGAAACAGCCTGCTTGGATAGAAAGCCTGTTTTGATATTGATAGCATTTACATTTGCCTCCTTTAAAAAGGGTCCTGGACAGCAGACATGCACTTGTCCCCGGTCGTATTTATGGCATCCACTGCATTTTGATAAACATATATGCAGACTAAAAGTGGAACACAGTAATAAGAAGTTGATTTTTTTTTTAAACACAATTATTACAAGCAGTAAGACTGCAGTTGTTTTTTTTATACGTGTGGCTTCTGGGAAACACCGGTCTTGGTGTTTATACTCTGGCAAGGTTCAACTAACAGGTTTACAAGGGTAAATTCTGTCACAGCAAACTTTTTCCTGTTTATAATTAAGACTTTACATATCAAAACAGGCACTCGACAGATGTTGTCTTTCTTGGAAGTTTTATACACTTGTTATTAAAAATAGACAGGTGTTGGGAGAGTGCAGGCCTCTGCCAATTTTATAAGATCGCTCACCTGAGATTTAATGGGTTCATACGTTTACCCGCTGAGGTGAGAGGAAAGATTTATGTCCTGCTTAGGCAACTGTTTAAATTTTTAATTAGTCCACTGATCACGTGTGAGAGCAGTGGCAGGTTGATATAGAACGTGACATCAGTTTGAGAAAACACACTTACTATTGTTACTGTGCCAGTAACACTAACAGACATAAACTGGGGGATTACCACTGGATTTATTGTTCACTGGTTTTGAGAGGCAAGCTTGATATAAGCTCTCCTAAATGGATTTGATGAGTTAAACTGGCCTCCTTTGCGTTGTCTCCTCTTCATTGTTTTTGGCTGATAAAGTAACTGGTGCAATGAAAAAGTCTAAAATCGATTGCAATACTTTCTTAAAAAGACAAACACCTTATTAGCTTATGTCAAACATATTTATATGATCTGCTTGCTCATCAGCTGGTGATTCTCTCCTCAGGGCTACATGCGTCCTCTCAAACAGCCGGACAGTGGCTCTATAGTGGACCCCCTGCTGGTGGACGAGATGTTCTACCAAATCCCAGAGATCCTGGAGCACCACGAACAGTTCCTGGAGCAGGTCTCCGGCTGTGTGAGCCAGTGGCACGACAGGCAGACCGTTGGACACCTTCTTATCCAGTCGGTAAGCAGATATGGCAATAAGTCAAAGAGCACACATGCAGCTTCTTAACAGATGAGAATATAAGATATTTGGGCCATCATCAACACACAAATGGGTCTTAAGAAAGTGTTGGACCATCAGAACACCTTTACTGTGCCCCACCCAAATCTTTCATCACAATTTTGTTTTTTGGCATGAGCCTCAGATTAGGTCGCTTCTTCTGTTTAAAGTTTTCGCTTAAACTGCAACAGTGAGGAAATGGCCCTCACACCTTGGTGCACGTTGAGGTGTGCCGTCACACAGGGTTGTCCTGCAGATTAGGCGTTTCCTGCAGTCATTTCGGTGTGCTATCTTTACTCTAATTGTCTGTTGAACAAACAAGTTACTTGTCACTTCCTGTGCACACTAGGTGGCATTAGAGGTCTCCACTTATGCTGTATTCCAGAATAAGTCAAAAGTCAGATTTTTGGAGTTCTCGGTTGGCATTTGAATCTGGAACACCCCCGCAACTTTGCTTTCCCGTTTAGGAAGTTGGAGCAGCTCCGCCTACCCTAAGTTAGCAATCTACAATGGCGTCAATGAACACGAACAGCTTTAAGACTGTAATTTTTATCTAGGAAACTGCCATTAATTAATGAACACTTATTATATGTCATGGTGCATGGTGTATCATGTGTGGAACCCACAGTGAAAATTTTATGTGCGTGGGATGATATTTATTGCTTAGTGGAAATGTCCTGTAGCCACTAGGTGGTGCTATGAGCATGACTAAATGCTGACATATTAGCTGTCAGATCTCAAACATGTGACATGTTGAGACAGACTGAACAATGTACATTTGAGCTGTAACAATTTCACACCCTGTGATGAATGATCATTCTGCCATGGACATGCCCATTAACGAAAACTTAAAAGCTTCCCAATTTACCAATGGTGAGTACTTTTTAGTCGACTTCTACTGTTTTGGTCCTGGTACCAATACTGCCTTTGTATTGGAAGATTGTTATATTTTAGCATATTCAAAAACTTTATCTTGACTGTAAGCAAGAAATCCCTTCACGTGTTCCAATAAAGCTGTGCATGAGAAAGACATGGAACATCCTACAGTTTTAACCATAACACTGTCCCATTGAATTTTGAATTAGTTAGAATTGGTCCACAACTTAAAAAAAACAAAGAAACCAATAAAAGTTATACCTCTTCATCTGTAAAGTAAAACCTTTATGTTTATGAAAAAGATAGTGTGTACGGTGTTTCTGTGGACACCATTATTTGCAAAAGTAGGGGCAGAAATGAAGCATCTGTGCAGACATGACTCATATGACATTTACTTTCCTGTAGACGTGAGCTTGAATGAATAAACAAACTTCGAGTGAGTGGAAACTGTTTTTATTGAAAGATGGTCTATAGTTGGCAACACTAGTTTCATATTTTGTTTTTCCAGTGACCGCATGTTGACCCATTTAAAACTTCCCATGACCCAAGTGTGGCTCCCAAAGAAAAAAAAAAGTGCTCCAGAGCTTCAGTGCTGGGGTAAATGTCAGATTTGAGTTTTCTAAGAATAAAGATAGAGGATTTTAATTCCAGGCTAAGAGATTTTCACTAAACAAATTCATCACCGAAGGTACTCGAATGCCAGCATTTGTTCCCTCAGTAGGTCACTACAGACCATAATCAAAACCCCTAACAACAAACTGCATGTTTAGTAGTAAAGCAGATTGAGAAATGAATCACAAAATTAAATAAACTCATTAATAAATTTTTCCTGTCTGTTTAGAGTAGATGTTCCTTAAAATGACGGTGTAAGAAATGCAATAAAAAGATAACACTGAAAATAACTGTGTGCCTTTCTAGCTAAAGCTGTTGCAACGCTCAGAATGAGGACCCCTCCCCCACCCTTTCCCGCCCTCTCTTCCGCTCTTAAAGCGGCAGCGGTCACAAACTCTACGGGCCTCGTTGGCGCAGTAGGCAGCGCGTCAGTCTCATAATCTGAAGGTCGTGAGTTCGAGCCTCACACGGGGCATGATATTTTCTGTCTCTTTGTTTGTCCAAGTTGTTTATGTTTCATAGATTTTAGAAAAAGAATCTTACATGAAATGTTTTGTGTATAATATAACGATAGGTTAAGATGAATAGGATTTATTAAACAAAACACATTAGACTCTAATGCAGTAAGTCCTGCAATGAAGTGCAGGCCTTACTGCTGTCTGTTACGCAGCCATCTGGGAGCATTTGTTATGAAAGATAAAACTCAGCAGGGGTTCGAAGTTCATTTTGTCAGTCCATAAAATCCCGGACGTTACAGTGATCCCATGCTAATCGCAAACAAACAGCGGAGACGCACAGGAAATAAATACTACAATAATAGTAAACAATGACCTTATCAGGCACAACACTGACACGACAGTTTCATAAAAAGTAGATTCATGTTTTCATAACTGTATTTTTTTACTTTTTGTTTTTAGAATATAATATATGCACATTCAGCCAAAGGTTTTACTGAATAATTTAATCGTCATTACATCATTATGGGTGCAAATATCAGTTGGGGATTTTGGGGGTGGTCTAATGTTCAAAGGTTAACACATTCAGTGTATTTACAGGGTAAGGAAACAAAGTTTCACCAGATTTTATTCTTAATCTTTCTTCCATTTGTTTCTCCCCGTGTAACTAATCTTGCTCATCCTGCTCAGATTTTATTTGTCGGACTTTTGTTACTGAGAGGCGGATGATAAGGATAGGGAAACCGGAAGTCAGTCCATTTCGTCAAAGGGCAGAAAGATGATGACTCAGTGACGCTAAATACAGCACCACATTGTGGTTCTCTCTCTGCTCGTGTCCCCGACTGCTTTGTCTTCTACCCTTTTATTTGTGAAAAGAAAGCAGGTCAGGGTGATTCATCTCAATCTGCGCTCTGTTGTGAGACAGAGAGGACTGCATCCTCAGATTTCTTCTTCTTTTATTCCTTTTTTTTAGTGCCAGTTAAATCAAGGGGAAATCCACTAACGTGAAGGCTTCTTTGTGTGGCTTAGGAATTAAAATAGTAAAATAGTTTAATCTTATATGCCATTTGTTCTGTTGTTGTCTTCCCTGATTATTTAAACCTCTTAAGTGTAGCTGGTTTATACTGGAATTTTATGTTTTGCTTTGCAAGAAATTGAACAAGACTGTGGTGTCTGTGTTTCACAACAATCACCACAACAGTCGCCTCAAGCTGCTTTATATTGTAAGAAGAAGACCCTTCAATAATAGAGATAAAACCCCAGAAATTATATGAACCTTTATTGAACCAGCAGGGCTCAGTGCATTGTGGGAAGCCCCCAGCAGCTTAGACCTATTGCAGGATTCAGGGTCACCTGATCCAGCCCTAACTATAAGCTTTATCAAAAAAGACATTTTTAAGTCTAATCTTAAAAGTAGAGAAGGTGTCTGTCTCCTGAATCCAAACTAGGAGCTGAAAGCTGAAGGCTCTGCCTCTTATTCCACTTTTAAATACTCTAGGAACCACAAGTAAGCCCTCAGTCTCAGTGCACAAACTTACTGAAATGTCCTCTTTTTCCTCTCTCTCTAGTTCTCCAAAGAAGCACTAGCTAACATGTACTCTGCATACATTGACAACTTCCTCAATGCTAAAGACGCTGTGAGGATTGCCAAGGAGGCCAAGCCAGCGTTTCACAAGTTTCTCGAGGTGAGTGTTGGATTAAAAAAACGTATTTTATACATAGTAACGATGCAAGCTTGTCCACTACCAGCTTTTTGTTAGTGACAAAAATGTAGCTTCAAGCTTTAAGTTATGTGTTGCTTTCAGTGTTCTCATTTTTTTTTTCTATTTTATAACCATCATCCAGCTTCATGGCAGGCAGGGTCAGAGTCAGAGAGACTTTATTTATACCTAAGGGGCAATTCAGATAGATGATACCTTGCCGACCATACATACAATACACAAACATCACATTGGGGGGACAGGTCAGGCTAGGTAGCACTGGCCGGTTGACAGCAGGAGCAGCTGCTGTGGAACCACTTCACCATCTTGTGGTAGAGATGTGAATTACAGGATTGAGCCAGCTGTAGAGCCACAGATACTGGTGGTTCTTATATCATCCACTTTGTCTTCATTCCCCCCCTTCTTTCAATCTAACAGCAAAACATGCGTGAGAACAAGGAGAAGCAGGCTCTGGGTGATCTGATGATCAAGCCGGTGCAGAGGATTCCTCGATACGAGCTGCTAGTTAAGGTGGGTGATTTCAAAATCGAACTATGAGCCTGCTGTGAAAGTTACTCAGACTGTTTAGTGATGGAAAGCCCACTTAAACGGAGATGAATGTGTTGTTGTTTGTTCAAGGATTTGCTCAAGCACACTCCAGAGGATCACCCAGACCACCCGTACTTACTGGACGCCCAGAGGGACATTAAACGACTGGCGGAGAAGATCAATAAAGGAAGACGCTCTGCTGAGGAGGCAGAGAGGGAAGCCAGGGTCATCCAGGAGATTGAGGCACACATAGAAGGAGTCGAGCACGTGAGACATTTGCTTACCTCTGCTGATTTTAGCTTTGTTGTCTGAGCGTTATATTTTTTCTAAAGCCGCTTTCACCCAGCATAAACAATAAAAACAATAAAATAAAACAATAACCTCCTTATATGTATGTTTGTCTCAGATTCTAAACCCCCAGAGGAAGTTCTTGAGACAAGAAATAGTCATGGAGGCGGTAAGAAACACTCCTGGAATTATCTTATAAAGCTGTGTTATATTATAAGGTGTGATCCTCTTGTGAAGGTTACATTCTTCTAACCCTGTACTTGTGTTCCTGTCTCTCTGTAGAAGACAGTGGGTGGAAAGAAGGATCGTTCCCTCTTCCTCTTCAGTGATCTGATCATCTGCACCACTCTCAAGAGGAAGTCTGGCTCATTAAGACGCAGCTCCATGAGCCTGTATGTAATGCACACAGGCCATCAGAGCACAGTTTCTAAACCATGCTGCCCCCTGGTGTTGACCAATATGTACACCAGATGTTCACTTTTTTTTTCTCGATTACATCTTTCCTGTTTTTCCCTTCATCCCTCCTCAGATACTCTGCTGCCAGCGTGATTGATACTTCAAGTAAATACAAGTTTTTGTGGAAACTTCCCCTGGAGGATGTGGAGGTGGTGAAAAGTAAGACTCTTATGCTGCAGTTTGTGTAGAACATGGATCTTTAAGTCATATCTACCACCGAAACACACAAAGAACCAAAATAATTTTGTTGTTTGGTACTTTGTTATATAAAATCACCTGGAGAAGTAATGTGGAATTTGCTTTTTGCTGTTTATTTTTCACCCTTTTCCAGGCTCCACGCAGGCAACAAATAAGGACAGTATCCAGAAGATGATTGGCCGGTTAGATGAGGATCTCAGCACGCTGGGTCAGATCAGCAAGCTGGCTGAGACCCTCAGCCTCCCACACCAGGTGCTGTGAAAGATGCAGTGACAAAAAACTCCATCGTTCTCTCTCTTTGCACATCTACTTTTCTTGGACACATGGAAACTTGTTTATTTTTGATCTTTCTAGTCTCCTCTTTGAAATATTCAATTATATACAGGTTGTTACAGAGACATAAAGAAAAAACTTCATTGAGCGTTTCATCTTTTCTCTCTTTCGTCCTCTTTTGTGCGTTTGCGTTGTGTTTACAGCTGAGTGTGCGTTGCACTCTGAAACTCAATTCTACCCTTTATTCCTTTTTTTTTTTCAGCCCCTAGACGAGGTAATAAAGGATCTGATGGCCTCGGTGCACAGGGAGCTTTCGGATAAACAGTCGTTGGCCTTCAGTATGACCTTCCTGCCCACAAAGCTGGAGTTGACCACTACTTCTGCAGAGACAAGCTTCATTTTTGAGTTTGCTACGCCCGATGCTCGCTCCAGCTTCGAGCAGGCCTTCGAGGAGGCCAAGAAAAAATTAGGTAAGTGGAAAAAAGATTTAGAGTGAGATACAGTATTATTTTCTCCACTAGTTCAGGAGCTGAAGCATGTGGGTGATTTCTTGTCTTGCTTGACTTTCTTTAAAAAAAAAGCTCTTACTTCGATCTAAATATGGCTAATTCTTTTTGTGTCACGTGTATTTAGCGATGAATAAGGACCAGTGGGACCCAGAGTTCCTGAAGGCCATTCCCATTATGAAGACCCGCAGTGGAATGCAAGTAAGAGCAGCGTGAAGAATCTACTGTGAAGCCGCCCTTTTTTTTTTTTATCCACAGAACAGAGGAACTCATTACTTTGCTGTTTGTCTCCAGTTTTCATGCGCCTCTCCCAGCCACAGCTGTCTAGACAGCGGATGTGAAGTGTGGGTGTGTAACAGTGACGGATACGTGGGACAGGTGAGAAGAGATTGGATGTGATTATTCCGTGTTGTCTAATCAAAAAGAAAGAAAGAAAAACAAAAAACAACATAATTTGGATTCTGTAGACTGATGCTGATGTTTCCTTTGCAGGTTTGTCTGCTGAACATCAAAGATGAGCCCACAGTGGAGGCGTGTATCGCTGTCTGCTCAGCCAGGATTATCTGTATTGCTGCAGTACCGGGACTTAAGGGAAGGTCAGTACACACATACTCATGAACGGATGTGACTGAGTGCACAGATAGACAGGTTGTCTCTGATTTAGAAAAGAATAAATCCGATGATGCTATGTTGAAGGTCTTTAATGAAAAGTTTTTTCCAATTTCACAGATCTGTTTTTCTACAAAAAAGAAAGTTATTTTTGTTTCTTTTTAACCATATAAACTGGGCTAAAAGTCAGCCATATAGTATTACCTATTAATGATCATTAATAAAGTTGATCCATCTACTGTTCACTGAAGCATCATCAGAAATAGTCTCAGGGGATGGGTGGCTGTCAAGAAACCATCCTTAAGAAAGGGAAACACAGAGGAAAGGCTGAAGTATTCTTCATGTAATTACACAAGACCTGGTCTGAAAATCAGTGGCAACAGGTCTTAAGACTTCAAATCAAGAGGGGAGACGTGCAACATTCAATATTAAATATTATCCGACTTTCAAGCTTATTGTACAAACTTTTGCTTGCTATGCTGTGTTTCCATCTATCCCTTCAAGTACCTTCTATTTCCCAGGACTTTTTCCTATATACTGCTCCATTAAATCTGTTGAAGAATTTAAATACCAGTCAATATTAGACCCCACAAAATCTTTAATCTTTTTTTTTAATAAAAAAAAAAACCCAAACAAACAAGATCAAGTGTGTATCTAACGACAGCTACTGTCTGTTCCTGACTTTATCTTAACTAATCACTCTTGACTTCCCAGGGAGCGTGGATCAGAGCCTCCTCTTGCACCTACCTCTGTGGCAGCTGGTCACACCCAGCAGCAGCTCCTCATATCCATTTCTCAGTCAACTCCAGAATTAACAGAGCAACCCACAGGTGAGTTAGTGGCTTTCTAAATTATATCACTTCATGTTCTTCTTGCGTAAGGTCTTTTGTGAAATTTGTGAAAATGCATCAATTGTATCCAGGACCAGGGGCGGAGCTTGTTCCGTTTGACAGTGACGACACAGATGACGAAGATTCCCCCAGTCCCTCTTCAACCCTACAGAGTCAGGCCAGTCACTCCACCATATCGTCCAGCTACGGCAGTGAGTAAACACTTCGGTCACACACACTTTATTTACACCCTCACGGTCTCTACCAGTCCTTCAAATCTCATCTTCACCCCAAAGATGACGAGGGTCCAGGCTCCAAGGACATGGCTACAGAGACCACCAGCAGTGAGGAGGAGCAGGAGTTCCCAGTGCCGAGCTCATATGGCTCTCAAGGGATGCTGGGGGTCGGTGGCGTAAGCCGCGTCCACGCAGAGAGTCCGATGGATGGCCGTGCCATGCGCCGATCGTCCCGAGGATCTTTTACCCGGGCGAGTCTGGAGGATCTGCTCAGTATCGACCCAGAGGCCTACCAGAGCTCTGTGTGGTTGGGAACGGAGGATGGATGGTGTGTGGAATTACTGACCTGTGTGCTCAAGCGATTTTGATAAGCTATCTTTGTTTGTTTGTTGGTGTACTGCTTTCACCTAATTTTCTGTGGTGCTGCCTTTGTTAGCATCCACGTGTACCAGTCCTCAGACAACATCCGAAACCGTAAAAACAGCATGAAGATGCAGCACTCGGCGTCCATCCTCTGTATACTGTGAGTCTGCCTAGCTAACTTTAAAGTAATAGAGAATTATTCAAAAACAAATTTCAAAGGTCAGGAATGCTAGATCTTATTGGATACTATCTAAATCCTGCTTTTACTTTACCTCCTTTCATTTTTCCTTTTCACATCCTTCCTTTTTTTCTTACTTCAGGTATTTGGACAACAAAGTGTTTGTGTCCTTAGCAAATGGAGAGGTGATTGTTTACCAGAGAGAAGCAGGTAAGCTCAACTGTGCACGTGATTGGAGTAAGCAATGGCTGAAAAAGAAAACGCTGTAGTGTTTGTTTTGGCATGCAGCACTTTTATTTGTCCCCGATCACAGCATCATTCCCCTTCTGTCTTGCATCCTCACTTGACCGTCCTGGCCTGGATCTTTAGTAAACTGTGTTACTGTTGATCTGGATTTGCAGGTAGTTTCTGGGACCCTCAGTCTTCTCAAACATTAGTTCTGGGTACACCTACAAGTCCTGTCACCAAAATGGTTCCCGTAGGAGGGAAGCTGTGGTGTGGCTCACAGAACAGAGTCCTTATCATCAACACAACTACACTAGTACAAGAGGTAGGTGGAAAGAATAGATGAGAGGGAAGCAGAGAAAGATTGGCTTTGCAGGTCAGAATCTGGAGGCTTTAGATTCACATCGGAATAAAAGGCCAGGCTGACGAGACTGACAAGCAGGAGCACTGGCGCGGAAGAAAGTTTACCCCCGTCTCTTTCGTTGTTCCTCCCAGCACTGGTTCCAGGTGGGCACTGACAGCAGTCGGTGTGTGACATGCATGGTGGCGTACAGTCAGGGTGTGTGGCTGGCGTTGCAGGGCAGTGCGCAGGTCAAACTATACCATGCTCAGACCTGGGAGAGCCTGACAGAGGTCGACGTAGCACCAGCTGTGCACAAGATGCTTGCAGGTATGCAGAAAGACTTTTTATGTGTTTTAGTTGTTTGTAGTATTATAGTTCTTTTTATAACATTTTCCTTTTTCAAACTAGTGGAAAGAAAAAGTGTTTGTCATTTTTAAACTTTAACAGTGTCTGACCACTGTCTGTTATTAATCTGACTTTGTTTGGTCCCTGTTCAGGTGCAGATGCGATCATCAGACAGCACAAGGCTGCCTGTCTGAGAATCACAGCCCTGCTAGCATGTAAGGATCTGCTGTGGATCGGCACCAGCGCAGGTAAGGAAACATGTTTAAATGGATTAACCAGATTTTTAACTTGAATTTGCTATTAAATCAAGATTAGAGTGCGATTTGACATTGTTTTTTGTATGTGTAAATGACCACCTTACTTAGTTCCTATGGACCCCAAAGCGCTTTACACTACATTCAGTCATCCACCCATTCACACACTTGTGATGGCAAGCTACAGTGTAGCCACAGCTGCCCTGGGGCGCACTGACAGAGGTGAGGCACTGGCGCCACCGGGCCCTCTGTAGGCAACGGGTGAAGTATCTTGCCAAAGGCAAGGCCCAAGGACACAACGACCGAGACTGTCGGAGCCGGGGCTCAAACTGGCAATCTTCCGATTACAAGACAAACTGCCAACTCTTGAGCCACGATCGCCACCATGTGTGGCTCAAATAGCTCACTACGAGCTTCTGTTTTGTTCCAGGGGTGGTTCTTACGCTGGTGATCCCAGCAGTGAGCTCAGGAACTGTGGCCGGGACTCTGAAATTTCCCCTGGTGCCAATGGGCTCAGCTCACGGACACACGGGCCACGTCCGGTTCCTGACGTCAGTCGAACTACCAGAAGGGTTTGACATGAACTTCCCTCCTAATACAAGTGACCCCACAGGTTAGTGCTGCTTCCTTTTTTTTGCCTTTTTTTTTCAAAAACATTTCTAACTAGTACATATCACTGATGTAGTAAGGATCATTCTCTAATTTATTTCTTTGTTAAATTAAAATATTATGTTATTTGAATAATTGCACCTTTCTTAGCCATACATTTGTTTTTAAATCAAATGTATATATTTTTAAAATTAATCAATCAAAACACTACAAAAGTGCTCATCCCCACAGTCATGTAAAGTGGGCAAGCACTGTGTTTTGTGTGCTTATTTATTTTTCCATTCAAATGCAATAAGGTGTATATATCACAATCAATTCCTCATAGTAGGTCCAGTGTCTCTCTTCATTTGTCTGTTTTATCTCATAATTTCATAAGAAGCTTTTAGTTGAAGTTGCTGGTATGACATATTTTACTGTTAGGGAATTGTAAGAGGGGAAAAAAGAATTATTAAATGGCAAACTGTAATTTTATGAGTTAAAAATCACTTAGATGTGATTTAATGCCCTTGAGGTTTAATGCCATTTTGTAAAAAGCATAAAAATTTCATGAAAATTGTCACTGGTTTTACCTTCTTTATGGATTTGTAACAGCAGACCGTTACTTACGGACCATTACTTACTTAATGACTATTGCATGCTTCTTTAGGTAAATGTATAAAAAAGACTTTTTTAAAAAACATTATGCTATCATTTTTGTGAGCACATGAAGTCAACAAGTTACGTGATAATTTAGTTTAAATGTCTTTGTTAAATGTCTGAGTTTAAATAAGCTTAAATTTATCTTAAGAGATCAATTTTAAGACATCTTGCAGACCCAAAACCGAACATTTGTGTAGAATGACTTTTAGGTTTGTACATATCTTTTCTATTTTGCTTCAGAAATATTCCAACTTCATTCATTTATGTTCATCTTTTAGGCAATCAGTCCCAAAACAGCAGCACAGTTGATGGAAGTCTCCAGAGGCGCGACTCCGCACGCCGCCGAGCTTCTGCGCACATCCCTCCGAAAACCAACCATCTAGTCATTTCCGGTGGCGATGGCTACGAGGACTTCAGACTGACTAATAGCAGTGAAACAGTGGGACGGGATGACAGTACCAACCACCTTTTGCTTTGGAGGGTTTGAGACAATCGAACTGTTAGTTTTACCGACCTGACCCAGCCTCCCTCTGGCTGAAATCAGCGCACAAGCTCCTCGTCCTTTAACCCCATCAGACTCCTCACTTTTCGGTGTTGCTGTTGCGTTCTTCTGCTCGGTCCGCTGGTCTCTATGTGCGTAACGTGGCTGTTGACTCCCCGGACTTTCTAATGAGTACGATCACTTCAAATCCAGTTTTCTTGTGTTAATGTTTCTGATGATGTGCATGTCTGTGTGTGCTTTTTCGGTTTGTGGCATCGGCCGAGTATTGTCGGCAAAAAAAAGGTGTTTAGACTGAAGGAGCCAGAAAGAGACAGAGAACGGAGACTTGAACTATCACAGATGGACATATGTTCAAAATGCGAATGACAAACAAGAAAAGTCGACTTGGATTCTGCAGAGTCTCTGCACACGAGGCTGAAAGCGGACATTTATGAAAAACTCTGGCATGAATCAGGTGAAGCATGAGCTTGTCCTTTGAAATTATGTTTTTTGGAACGAAACACTTAATCTTAACTTGAGCTTCACATAAAACGCCTCCCAGCGATCTATAAAAAAATCAACAAAAGTGAAAGATATTAACACAGACTGTAGTTTGATGGATATTTGGAATAATGAATATGCCCTTGTTTTTTCATCTAGATTTTAAGCATATCGAAGTTTTAAATGTCTGATCTTATAAGGAAGTGAAGGACAAACATCAATTCCACTGCCATCGATAATACATGTTACTGCTAACATCATCTTTCCTCCTGTTTAGTGAGAGTAAGCATCATTTAAGTGCAATATGTGGCAGTAGAGGTATGTAACAAGACTGAACACATATACTCCCATACATTCATGCACGGCCTTCACTCAGTGAGTCAAGAGATTTGTGAAAAGCACGTGTGTTCTCTGTAGAAAATCACACCAACATTTATCTTTTTTTCTTCTTCACATATTGAATTTTTGTTTAAGATGACAGAAGTGTAGATGAAGCAGTGTCCCACTACTGGTAGAGGAAAAAAAAAAGTAGATTGAAGACATTCCTTCTTAACGCGACTATGCCAAAGCCTTTTGTGTGCTAATGTGTTGACACTAAGGGATCTGAAAAGATTTCTTTTGCCGTGAAATTTTCAGTGTTTGGAGCGTTCTGTCACGAGGAGAGATAGGTGATCTTTAAAGATGACGATAGGCTGTGGTAGCAGATGAAGATAGTTATGTACAGTATTTATGGTTTTGATTTTTAGCGCCGCCTTTTACAGCACTTAATTTATAGAAGATGTAGCTTCCACTTTTCTTTTCAAGTTTAATAACGAGGAGGCTCGGTTAACAAAATTGATTACCAGGAGACAGATCTGCACACGAGGGGTGTAGGGATACAGTCCGGTCATGGTTCGGTACGATTCACAAGACTGGGTTCTTGCACTGTTTTGCATTATTTCCCTTTGCGCTGCATCTCAGAGCAGCTTTTAGGCAGACTGAAAACACAGCCACTCAACCTCATAATTGTATGGAAGTTTGTTCCGCAGCCATCTTTAGGAAAAATTTTGAGTTAGCGTGTCGAAATTTTGATTTATTATCCTGAAATTTCAAGTTGCGTGGCTTGAAATTTCGACTTACTCAGAAAAAACTTGAAATTTTGAGATGTATTACCTAATAATAACTAAATACCTCAAAATTTCGACGTAGCTCTGTCACTGTCACAAACAAGCTTCCATATGATTGAGTGCCAACTTCTAGAATATGCCTACATTCTTTTCCAGCTCCACTGTGTGTATTGTGGCACTTTCTTTACAGGACATGTAGCGCTAAAATGTATGGATACACCTCAAACACACCACATCACACAGACAGGTAGCAGTAGCTGCCAGAGAACCAGATGCTTGTAATAAGGAGAATAAGGACAAATGCTGAGCAACTGCACGTGCCTTCAGAGAGATAAAGGTTAAGCCATTTCACTTACACATGCACAGTGACAGTGAAAAGTCAGCTCTGCCTCATCTTATAGCAGTGGAAGCAAATCATGACTACAGCTTGCACACACACACACACACACACACGCTCGCCAGACCGGCTTTGGGGTTAATCTGAGATTGTTTTTGATCCCTCCAAGCCTAGCAAATACTGCATTGCACCTTACCAGCCATCTGGGCACTTCTCCTCAGCTTTTCCCACATCCATACATGAGGATCCACTGTGAGAGATAGGCTAACAGCTAAGAGGATTAGCTGGCCTTTGTGATAGCTGCTAACTAGCAAGCGAGCCTCTGTTAAAGTGTAAAAAAGTGCTACTTAAGCGCTCTGTTATCCAGTTGGAAAGCATTTTCAAAAAATAGCTTTTTTTCTGGTTCCTCTGTTGAAGAAAAATTCACGTAGCCTGTTAGCAAAAATTAAACGACTAGCTAAACATTTTGGGACGCATACTTATTCGGTTTCTTGCCGAGAGTTAGCTAAAAAAGATTTATATAAATCTTGTGTGTTTATGAGAACAAAAGTTAAGAAAAAGCTAGCTTAAAAAAACCCATCTACCAGTGTTTTTGAGGAAAGCTAATACCAAACAAAGTGTGTCGGGGTTTATGTCAGTTTATAAAAAATGAAAAAATAAAGCAGCGAGCTTAGAGGTTAACTAGCTAACAGTTTTTTGTTTTTTCAGCTCATAGCGGCTTCACTATTTCCCATGATTATGGTTTTAACTTCTCATTTACCATATAATGTGATCCTGGTGTCATGGTTTATGGTACACTTAAGTAACTCTCACAAGAAAAATAAAAGGTAACGGTTTAAAATTTTCAGTTTCCGCTAACTTTGAGATAGCAGACATTTATTAATTTTTTTAAATGTTCAACAGAACTGATTAATGTCAGTGTGTCTGTGACTGCCTGAGATAAAATTTTGTGTATTTTTGCTGGCTTGAGAGCGTCAGTAATCCCTTCAGAAAAGGAGTTAGTAGCCATATTGGTCAACAGTGAAAAAACATCTGTGCGCTGTCTCTGCTATATTTTCATGGTGTGGGGTCTAACGTAACATTTTCCTAAGTTTTAAAGTACGGAAGCCTGTTTCTGCCACTGGGAAAAACAAAAACAGACAAACAAACAGTTACTCAAAAGTTGAAATTTCGAGATATGGAGTCTGTAAGTCAAACTTTTGAGATGCGTAATTTCGAAAGTTTGAGATAACCTGAACTTTGATACAATAGCTTAAAATTTTAAATGAGATCTACCTGGCTTTTAGTTTTGTGTGACAGAAACAAGCCTCCAAAGAAAAGAGTTTGGTCATGGTCAGCAAGTTTGAATACAGCTTTTTCATAAACGTAGGTTTTCTTCCACCTTAACCGTATACTTTTACACTGCCTCAGTAGTCACACATGTATAAATCATTGAATAATCACATTTTCAGCAAGAACATTTTAACCCAGTGAAAATGAAACTGAACTGCTTCACACACAACCTTTCTTAACGTCTTAAATATGAAGTAAAAATAATCAAAAACCCGCCATCACTGTAACTGTCAGCAACATGTTTGTAAACCTCCTCATGCCCATTTGTGAACCGAGTCTTTATTGTTGTAAATATTGGTACATACTGCCTTTTTTCTGTAAATAGTGCACCCATGGTCCTCAAGTGTTGATATGAATCTAATGGCATATTTTTATATATTTGTGTAAGGTTTGTTTTTCCTGTTTGTATTTTTCTCCCCTTCCCCTCTGGCATGCGCTGTCAGTCATGTTTAAGTTATAACTGTCATAGATCTTACAAAAAAGAAGGCAAGACGACCCCTGACAGATATTCATGTTTTCACTCCAGAACATGCTGATGTTTGCCTTGTTACAGATGTGACCAGGAAGGTAAAAAAAAAAAGGAAATAAATAAGAAGCTGCAGTTTTGCACTGCCGCCTGGTCGTAACTCTGTTGGACATGTTGCAGCTGTGATGATGAGTCTATCAGAGTTGCTTCCTGTACGTAGCTGTCCTTGTTTTGTCACTGTGGTTTCCTCTTTGTAATTAAATCAGTTCACTGGCTCCAGTTTGTGCTCGTTTTCAGAAAGTTTGCACTTTACAACAAAGTATGTGTAGTCATGTGTGCACATTGCTCAAGAGTTGTGTGGTGCATTAGACATCATACAAGAGCTGGTTGGAAGGAAAAGTGTGTATTTCCCGACTGGTTTCTGGATGCTGCTGGCAGGTGGTGGATGAAATCAGCTGCAAAGAAGGTGCTTCAAATCTTCATTTCCAGTTTGTGTCGCACTTTTCCCAGATACCAAATGGATAGTTTTTGCAGACAAGTCTGTCAGTTCCAGTTAAATTACTGCAGGAATATGCTAGTGACCAAAGCAACCACAAGGTGGTTTTTGCCAACTGACTGGGGAATACACATTTTATGCCTAGTGACAGGTAGTTGTCAGGGTTGATTGGTCTGTAAGCCTCTGTGACTGGGACTTGGATCAATTTTTGTCCCAACAGCTGCCATCAACCTCCACCAACAACCCGCAAGTAGTTGGAGATACTCATTTTGCCCTTAGGATCGGTGGCTGTTAGATGGTTGCAGACCAGTCTACCCCTTCGTTACTTGAGATTTATTCACTTTATCCTACACTGTCACCATGATTATCACACCCCGAAAATGTTGGACAAATTAAGTGCTCAGATGTTTAGAGCCTCATTATGAGGCTCTGTCCATCCGTACACGGGTATTTCGGTAGCTTCATTTTAATGTAGTTTGCTGTTTTGTCAACACTTAAATGTTTAAGTAAATGAAAATGTATATTTAAAAAGAAAAATACCTTTGTTTGCGCTGTTATTGTTTCGCGGTTTCTCATTTTCCAAATCTCCACCTGTTTTTTCGGCATGCTCTTGATAAGCATTGAATTTAGCATTTTTACGTGGACTGAGGTGTTTTTCAATAAGGTAGTTTTTGACTAACATGGTGATGTGATTCTTGGATGTTTATCCAAATTGCACTTTTTGAAGTTTTCTCCTATGTTTGATAGGAAAGTAGATAAAACGAACAGAATACCAGTGTTTGTTTCTTTTGCTCACAGACATTAAATTAGTGGAGTTTTTCTATTGAAACTATGATATAGTACAAATTGGTGAAAAAAATAATTCTGACCAATATTCTTCACAAGTTACTGTGTTCAGTACTGTACAGTTGCTACCAAAACACTCACTATGTCCAATTATATTGATTGAAAAACAGGCTAATTTCATATACACAACAAAATAATTGTACATACATACACGTTAATAAGATGACAAATTCGAATATCCCTTTGTTTCTTCTTTGTTTCTCACATTCATGAATGATACTGAGCTTACCCTCACTGCCTCATGACGACAAACAAAGTAACCCCTGTGATTTTCAGCAGGCTATTGCTACTCAACTGCCTTTTAACCCACTGACCTACAATGATGTGTATTGTGATATGATAGTCCTGCAGTATAATTGAATGCGGGACATTTAGAGCACACACACAAATCCACTTGTCCCTCCCTACTTAATGACGACTTGCACACGTTGCAGCGTCTCCACAGAGTATTCAAATGTACTAAACAGTGAGGATCTGTATGATGACTGAAGGAGTCAGCACAGAGATTTGTCTGTGCTTCCTCAGCATCACTGAGAAATGTTGTGAGTCATTGCCTGACACCAACTCAATAGTCCAAGCAGTCAGAAGATGGAAATCTACTTCATCGCTAATATCAGATGAAACAATACTGTATTACAGTATTTGAAAAAAGCAAGAAGCGTGTATGTGTACACCCAAGAGTGCCTGGAATTATAGATATTGTGATCAGTGTTAATCACTTCACCTAGAAGTGTTTTTAATGTTGTGGCTGATTGGTGTAGAGAAACTCTTGAACAAAATAACACCCACTGGGCATCAATTTGTGGTAATTTTGGGCTTTTAATGATTGCTTGAATTTATTTTTGGATTTTCTCTAAGTAGCACAGAGTCAAAATTATATTATATATATTATATATACAAAACACCCCCACTAATATTTGGTTAAATGTTCTTTACTATGTTGTATCTCGACCAGACACTTTTAGTGGCCATCAACAAGCTTCTGGCATAATGCTGGTTGGATATTTCACCACTCTTCTTGGCAGAATTCTTTAAATTGTTTCAATACCTGGCAAAGACACGGCTTTTATGTGTGGTCAAACTTTCAATAGGGTTGAGGTCAATGAGGTCACTCCAAAAGCTTAATCTTAGCCTGCTTTAACCACTCCAAAACCAGTTTTGATGTGTGTTTCGGGTCATTGTCCTGTGGGAACACCCAACTGTGTCCAACTTTCAAATGAGAAGTTGAAGAATTTGGAGTTAGTACTCCTTTTGGAGCAGTAGCTTCTTTCTTGGTTGACACCCTCTCGGTCCATGGCGAGGTAAAACAGGGTTCTCTGTGGAAAAAGATGTTGGTGTCAGGTTCCTGGGTTGTTTCCTGAAAGTCCTAACCAACTTCCTCTCATCTGACAGTGACAGTTTGGGTCTTCTTCCAGATTCTGGCAAAGAGGCGACACATCCAAATACGATTATTCGGAATAATAATCTTGGAATCTGCAGGTGTTTAGAAATGGCTCCAAGAGACCTTCTGAACTTGTAAATCTACAATTCTGCTTCTTAGATCTTCAGAGTTTCTTGAACTGTCCCATTATTCTGAGAGTTTGTCAGGCCAATAACTGCTGTCAAACAAATTACTTTCATGACAGAAAAGAGAAACTACCAGCTGAAGTCAATCATGATCACTAACAAGAAGTTAGGCCTTGTCCTTGTCATGTTAAAACACATTATACACTTGTGTATGCTGAGGGCCTGCACTGCACTGAAGCCCTCACTTCATAAAAATAGAAAGATATATGCACATCCACACCAAGGGGTGGGTGGAGGGGCCAGTTGCTGGGAAGAAAACATGCAGACAGTAAAAAAAGAAAGAAAAACACTTGGTCACTGCTGGGCTCCAGTTTTATGTATTTAATGCACCACAAATATGAAGGTTTCAAGCATATTTGCTTTTCATAAGACACTTTTACACTTAGTGGCTCTGCTACTATTTTGAACCGTGAATCATTCAAAACGACTCCAGCAGAATCCAAGAAAATCTGAAAATGAGCATAATAGGTCCCTTTTAATATTACTTAGCCTGAATTTATTTAGAGAACCAGAGGATTACAATAATAATATGGTATTAAAATATTTTCCTGGGCTAGCTCTGTTGTCTAGGAAATGAAACCTTGTTGGCTTTACGGTGTAATATGGACTAGATTTAAAGTATTTTTAAAAAAGTCTTGGCAAAAATGTCACAGGATAAACTTCTAAAATGAGTTAAATATAAAATAATGAAACATTAAGCTTATTCTTTTCATTGTCTGACTATATTAAATTTAGTTTTTAATATGGAACGTTTTTTATTCATCTGTAGTTTAGTGTTTATTTAGCTTTAAACACTCTGGGCCTCCATATTGCGAACTGAATCTGCCAGGCTCAGGCTGTGAGCCACAGGTGGCTGTTGCCTATACTACCGGCAACAGAGGGGGTTTACATGCACACACATACTGACGGGGGTTTCAGCTTGCAGCAGTGACGCACTGTGAGCTCAGAGTTAGCCAGCTCCGTGTTTATGTGCCACACACACACACGCACAGAGGAGCCGGAGAGAGAGAGGGGGGGAACCTCAACACCGGCTTTGTGGTTTTTATCTATTGTCAAGCTTTTTAATTACACCTGCTAATCTAGCCTGTAACCGATGATGCTCGTCTCTGCACACTGATTTTCACTCCGTTTATTCACCAAACCGGTAAGTCAAACAACTTTTTTTCTCTTTAGAACAAGAGGGGATAACCTGCATGGCTGCTGAAGCCGGTAGTTAAGTTGTGGCAGAATCGTTTGGAGCTTCACTCGCCACTAAGCCGGTGTTGCCGACTAGACCGCTTTTACGCACGGCGGTAACGTTTTCGTATGACTTAACCGGTACACGGCACATACTGGTAGGTTAGAGCCATGCGTTTGGGCGAAAACTTCCGTGCTGTTTGGCTATGAAGGTTTAAAGAAGTACGTTTTTGGTTTGTTTGTTTGTTTTTTGATAAAACATTGCTCTTATATGCGTGTGTGTCTGCACAGACTGCGTTTGTATTCATTTTATTTAACATACACATGAACTTCCATAGCGTGTAGCATAGTGCGTTCATTTAACTTGGCTACTGACTTAAAATTTAGCCTAGCCGCCTTTATCGATCGATAAATAGTTAGAATATTCATCTGAACAGTAAAGCAGTCATTCATACTTAATCAAACTAAATGGAATGAATAGACGGTTGTGATACCGCATGTGTAGCGCTTTGTAACGGCAGGATGAGCGCATGCTTCACGTACTGTAATGGGTGCGTGATGACCTCACTGATGGTGTGATCCACCTACTCGCTTTTTAATGAAGTTCTTGCTCTGATTTATTCGTAATGTTTTTCCTATTAGGTTTAAAGTCTTATAGCAGCCAATTAAATCTCGCACAAAATATTCTGCCGAGAAGCTGCAAACACGTCAAGTTGGTTGCGTTCAGACAGTTTCACTTTTGCAGCGTGTGCTCCAGTAACTGCTCATTTCAAACCGTGTCTTAGCGCCATCACATACAACACCATACTTGAGTGGTTTTGGCAGGATATACTGCTGCGTAAGGAGTACACCGCAATGAGAGCCAGCTCCCCTGATTACACACTCACAAATGCGCAAGCCCCGAGATGAGACTGTCATCTTTGGCAGAGGGCTTCCATTGTCTGAATCCCAAATTCCAGCACGCTTGTATCAGTAAGAGGGTTTGAACTTTACTCACTCACATGCGCTTTTCACCAGAAGAGGGCCATGTTCGGCTTCCCCAGTCTCGGTTTTTACAGCGCAGTCGTTTTAGGGAGTTTTTTCTTAACTGAATGTGTGCAAAGTTTATTCATCTGACGTGATGTTTCGGGAAGACAGACTTCCTGCTTCCTGTCATGTACTTTCACAGCTCATTGTGAAAGACCATGCAGCAGAGTGGGGTGATGAAATCCCTCCAGTGGTTTACTGGTTTGGGTTAAACAGCCTTTTAATGAGTGCGGTGGTATTAAATATTTAAGTATATTTCCCATACAGTGGCTCAGCCACTAATAAAATATGTATGAAGATAAAATGAAGCTGATTGGAAGTAGAAAGTAAAGGGTTTAAAAGTGGAAGTAAATCCTTCTGCCTGAACTGTGAACTGCGTAACCAACTGTTGGACCATGTTTCAGTGAAGACTGCAGTGTATGTGGATCATTAGGTGTATTTTTTTGAGTGAGAGTTCAGGGAGTGATGTAATGTGTTAAAAGTCTTTTTTTTAACATTTGAGAATTTACATTAAAAAATATTATTATTTTCTCGTTGTAGCTTGGCTTGTCAGGCAGCTTTTGTAGTCAGAATTGTGACTGCTAAGTGGAGCATCTACAGGCTGTTTCTTTTATCTGTTTATTTATTCATTTTATTATGATTATTTATGCCATTGCACCTTAGTAATGTGCAGTTTCTTTTTTTCTGTCGGTTTTGACAGCTAAGGCATTCCTGAAAAGCGTTTACACAGGCTTAAACTTTTGGGTATTACCCTGGTTTAAACAAACCTGTATGTCTCTCACATATGTTCCTTCTTTGGCTTGATTATTGTAAGTTTAGGCAATCTGATGCATTGCAACTTTTTGCCATGTTTTGTGCTCAGCTGGTGTTCCAGTTAAATGCATGCTCTCCTTAATTAGGAGTTGGAGCAGTTATCATGAACTAAGTGTAACTCCCATTTTACCTCTCCACCCACCCAGCATTTACTGTGTGCTGTACTCATGAGAATGAGAAAGGCGAGTGGAAAAGGCGAGATTGATTGAAAACAGGCAGATAAAAGTATATGTTCACTGCAGCCTGGAGCAGATAAGAAGCCTGAGATTTACTTGTATTGCAGTGATGTACTGCTTCACCTCTGAGCGTGTGTGAGTGCATGTGGGAGTCAAAGCCTGAGCTTCAATTAACCTGTCAATCGCATCATCTGTCTGTCCATCTGTCCAACCAGAGTGGTTGGGAGTGCCGCCCGGCGCTCTTCCGCCCTCGTGCCACAGCTGCCTGCATGCCTCCCCAATGTCAGCCAGGAAACTCAGTGCCAATGAAATTCCCACTGCACAAACCACAGATCCCAATCCAAGCCGGTTCAGCGCACAAACACACACACACACACACACACACACACACACACACACACACACACACACACACACTAGTGGAGGATTGCATAATTACAGACAGAAAGACCTGGAAAGATGCTGGCATGAGCAAAAGTGCTCGCCTCCTCACACATATACGCCCTTCATTTGTTTTAGATTAAGACAGCAAACTGCAAGTCACGCTGCACAGAGTTTCCGTCTGTCAGGCTCATTCATTTGACAGTCTGGCTGTGGAAGAGTGTCACTTCCCGGATGTCTCGTTCCTTTGTTATCTCAAGTTTACAAAAGTCTGCTGTGGTTTCAGCTGCATTCTCGCCCTTCTTACCCTGATGACCTCTCCCCTCTCTGTCTTCTGTATCCCCTGTCGCTGCCTACTGTATGCTGTTTAATGACACAGTTTTAAAAATAAGCTCTGAGAAAACAGGAAGAAAGCGACTGCAGATTTTTTTGCTACTCCACAGACGCTGCGAGAGGAAAGATAAATCTAAAAGCAACCACAATCTGCTAGCTAAACTCGCCAGTAACCAGTCGCTGGCTTTGCGCTGCCAGAGCAAATCACACATCAACATGTCCGGGTCGATGTCTTTGTGACGAGACACGAGCTAGTGGCTGTGTGAGTGTTGTTCGCGTGTGTCTTATGTGAGAAGTGCTACAAGCATGCCCAATTTAAATACAACCGCTGAGTAATGACAAAGTAGTATTCAAAGCAGGAATTTTATGGTCTGCTGCAGCACTTTTACAGAGGTATTAATACAGCTCGGTACACAGGATATTGTGAAATTATGCTATAATTCAGATCTGCTGCAACATAGAAATTTATAAGACACTGTTTCTAAATATGTGCACAAATATGTGTGAGTTATTTATGCCATTGTAAGAGAAGGGCTGGTGAAAATTCACTGCTCTTACTCTGTCTCAGAGTCCCTGCACTGCAGTAGACATACATCAAACTCAGAGCCAGAATAATTCTGCCCGAACTGCTTTTTGTGAACTGAATAAATTCTGACATCGCTATAACGATGAGTATATTTTTATTAGCATACATTAATAATACAAGATGATGATGAGATCATTGTTAATTAGCTTTCCAGTATTTTACAAAGTTACCATGAAAACATCAGTTGACTCTGCATCACCATCGGCTCAGTTGTGATGTGACTTTGATGTACATTACATAGACAGGGCTGAAAATACTGTAATCAATAGAGGTGGAAACTAGAGTACACTCACCGTAAACTTCATTAGTTACTTCTAGTATCTTGCTATTACCAGGCTGGACCTACTTTTGCCTTCAAAGCGGTCTAAATGTTTTGTGGCATAGATTCAAGAAGGTGCTGGAAACATTTCTCAGAGCTTTTGGTCCATGTTGACGTGATAGCATCACATAGTTGGTGCAGATTTGCCAGCTGCACATCCAAGATGTGAATCCTCTGCTCCACCACATCCCAAAGTTGCTCTATTGGATTGAGATCTGGTGACTGTGGAGCCAGTTTGAGTACAGTGAACTGACTGTCATGTACAAGAAACCACTTTGAGATGATTTGAGCTTTGTGACATGGTGTGTTAGCCTGTTGGAAGCAGCCAGCAGATGATGGGTACGCAGTAAAAGTCACCATCAGCAACTTGAATTGCTGATATAAGGCAGGACGGATCCATGCTTTTCCTGTCCCCGCAAAAATCAAGACTCATCCGACCAGGCAGCGTTTTTCCAATTTTTGTCCAGTGTTGGTGAGCCCACGTGAGCTGTTGCTTCAGATTTGTGTTCTCAGCTTACAGGAGTGGCACTCTGTGTCTTCTGCTGTAGCCCATCTGCTTCAAGGTGTGATGTATTGTGTGTTCAGGGATTCTCTTCTGCATACCTTGGTTGTAACAACCATCCATCAACAATGGGTTTTTACCCACTCTCTTTTTCGGACCATACTCGGTAAACTTTCAGTTTCATTATTTATATGGCCCGAACCACAACAACCACGCCCAACAGTCGCCTCAAGGCACTTTATTCTGTAAGAGAAAGACCCTACAATAACAGAGAAAAAACCCCAACAATTAAGAGACATGGTTGTGTGGGAAAATCCCAATAGGTACTGTAGTGGGACCAACAACTTTGCCACATTCAGACTCACTTAAATCACCTTTCTTTCCATTTCTGATGCTTGCTTTAAACTTCAGCGGGTCCTCTTTTGCTCAATCACTCAACCACCTTTTATGTGCTTTTTCTATGTAAGTGTTTTCCGTCTAACATTCTCACTCTGTTGTATGATAAGAGCAACCTGAGGTTGGTATCTTGCCCAGGTATTTTTGGCATGCAGACTGGAGCAGCCAGGGATTGACCTGCTCTACCTCCTGAGTTAGAGCCCCGTGTCTGCATGCCTGAATGCACTAAGTTGCTGCCAAGTGGCTGGCTGATTCATTTTTAATTGATTCTGTTTTTATTTATTTATTAACAAGCAAAAAGATTATTAAAGATGAATTTTGTTTATGTTAATTTATGTGTGTGTTGTGTCCCTTCCTGAAACATGATGAGGGGATACTCTTCTCATATTCTAGATTTTATTTCCACTGATCAGAGCCAGACTGTCTTTTATCCTAA